CACGTCATTTAGACGATCCAGTATGATTCCACGTCATTTAGACGATCCAGTATGATTCCACGTCATTTTAACGATCCAGTAGGATTCCAAGTCATTTAGACGATCCAGTATGATTCCACGTCATTTAGACGATCCAGTATGATTCCACGTCATTTAGACGATCCAGTATGATTCCACGTCATTTAGACGATCCAGTATGATTCCACGTCGTTTCCTCTCTGGTCTGTCCATCCAGGCGCGCGAGGAGACAGAAGCCCTCCACTTTGCATTAAGAACACTCACTTAACCCTTTGACCCCTGAACGCCCCACTAAAGCGTATCTCTCTTCCTGGGTTCCCCGCCCCCCAACATAACCTATCATTGTTGTCACCACTTTCACTGGATCTAGATCTATCCTCGCCTTGGCCAGCTTCCTGATCAATACTTCGTGATCAATACTTCGTGATCAATACTGCTTTCACTTTCTGTTTTGTAATCTCTGTCTAAGTCTTCTTCATCCGATTCTGAATCTCCAGCAAAAAAATTCCATTACCTGCTGGGTACCAAACACCTCAGTTCTAGCCTTTTTTCCACTGGAAGTACGAGGTTCATTCACATTAGCTCGCCTCATTTTTACGGTGAAGTATATCCAATTTTTTCCATAAAATCTTCCACAAACTACACATGTAGAAGCATAGACGACTTATTTGAATAGTTACGGAGCAAATTTAAGATGTATAGCCATTGGCTGTCTGTTTTTAGTGCCTGGCAGGCCTAGAGCTGAGGCCACTAGTGAATCCCACTTGAGAGGGAATCGGGATTTTTGACACGTTTGCGAATCCCGCTCTAGTGGAAAACGGACTCAAAGAGTTAACGGCTCTCATCTCTCAAAGGTACTCACTCTTCTGTCGTTCCAGGCGCGCGAGGAGACAGAAGCCCTCCACTTCGCGCTGCGCAACATCGCAGAGGCGGTCATCAACGACGCTGACCTGACCTTGGTGGAGGAGGAGGAGGGAGGAGCTGGGGGGGAGCGGGGAGCCAGCCCGCAGAGACGCCCCACCTCTCCTTCCTTCCGAGCCTCCTCTGTCTCACCCACAAGGTCAAGGTCACCGTACGCCCGCCTCCGCTCCCCGAACAGGTCCCCATCTCCCACAGCCAGGTCAAGGTCAGTTGGGGCTGTGGTTGTCGTAGTTTTTATTGTAGTACGGGTTTTATGGCACTTGTGACTCATTTAGGTCATTCAAGCACCAAAGATGAGAGGTGTGGTAGTCGCAGTTTAGATTGTAGTACTCGTTTTACTGAACTTGAGACTCATTTAGGTCATACAAGTGCCGAAGATGAGAGGTGTCACTAGAGAGTAACTTTCAAAGAAAAAAAGGAGGAGAGATAAGAACGATAGATGTTTGATAGGAAAGAAGGAGAGATAAGGACGATAGATGATTGATAGGAAAGAAGGAGGAGAGATAAGAACGATAGATGTTTGATTGGAAAGAAGGAGGAGAGATAAGGACGATAAATGTTTCATTGGAAAGAAGGAGGAGAGATTAGGACGATAGATGTTTGATTGGAAAGAAGGAGGAGAGATAAGGACGATAGATGTTTGATTGGAAAGGAGGAGAGATAAGGATGATAGATGTTTGATTGGAAAGAAGGAGGAGAGATAAGGTTGATAGATGTTTGATAGGAAAGAAGGCGGAGAGAT